TACTTTCCTTCTATACCCATTTTATTCAGAGTTTTTATCATAAATGGATGCTGTATCTTGTCAAATGCTTTCTCTGCATCTATTAAGATGATCATGTGATTTTTATTCTTCATTTTATTTATGTGGTGTATTACGTTGATTGATTTGCGAATGTTAAACCATCCCTGCATCCCTGGAATAAATCCCACTCGATCATGGTGTATAATCTTTTTAACATATTGTTGTATGCGATTTGCTAGTATTTTGTTGAGGATTTTTGCGTCGATGTTCATCAGTGGTATTGGCCTGCAGTTTTCTTTTTTTGTGTTGTCCTTGTCTGGTTTTGGTATCAGGGTACATCTTTACCTGATTCTTAACCAGGATTTGTAGTTTAATTTGAACCCAACCGCAACTCCAGATGTGGGGCATGAATTTTTTAGCTAGTTTGCCTCTCTGGACTTCCTGACAACATCAGCTGGCCAGGAAATGTGTTTCTTATCATTTCAAGCCAATGTGACACCCTGAGAAGCCTTCTCTTCATTGGAAGAGATCAGAGGATGCTTTCTTTCTTCTCCTGGATGGTCTGTTTTGAGATGTGAGGCTTGTCACTTTGACTGCATGGAGCCTAACAATTGAAGTCAACAATATGGAAGGCAAGGTGGAGACATAGAGTGATATTGCTTCATTGTGACGTGATTTGCACCAACGGATCAGCCTTCCTGGAAGTCAACGCCACCTGTCGCCCTTGCATTCACCTGAACCAGGATACTCCCTTTATACTTGTAGTCCATTTAAGTTGGGCTTTCCATCATTTGCCACACAAGCATTTACACAGATACACAGGACATTGCAGATTGCTGCCTTGGATGATTTTTAAATTAACATGGAGATGAGGGCATTAGGAGATAAGGATTTGCAGACAGAAATCCATTACTTACTTAGGTTCTCTGAATCTTGACTCCTTATTTTAAATAATTTCTTTCTCTGCTACATACCAACTCAAATCTCTTAATTTTTACAATAGCCTCATAACCTGGCTCCCCACTTCCTGTTCATTCCTCACCCACAATCAATCATTCACACTGTTCAGAGGAATCCATGCATTGTTATCCATTGTTTTTTAATTCCCCTTTGCTTTCAGCCTAAGGTCCAAAATATTCCAACTGTCATTCTCAGACTTTCGACTTCTGTATTTGCCTGCCTCTCTAGTCTCATGTTTGCTCCATCCCACTAACTTCCAGCCATATTGAAACACTTTAATTTATAGTTTCTCAGGTGCAAAATATTTTCCCCAATATAATTTGGTTGCACTCATAGTCTCCATATTAGACCCTAACACATTTGCTGAAGTACATCATATTCGTTGTTTGTATTTATCTCTGACATCAGTTGATCTTTGTAAATGACGAGGATCGAAGCAATGAGCCCTCACTGAGTGACATGAAACCACTCAAAGACCTCCTGAAATCAGACACATCCTTCTGGCTTATAGTGTAAACCTTTCACTGACCTGAGAAACCAAGAGGGGCTGATGCAGCACCAAACTGGAGATCCACTAGAAAAGAGGGAAAAATTGGAGGGTGGGATGAGATCAATCATCTACCCTTATTTAGTTTTTCTAATCTTTGATGCAACCCATTGAAATAATTTAATTCCATTTTCTGAAGTAAGGGTCCCATTTTGAACATTAATATACTAATGGAACTCAAGTAAGTAGAAAGTCACTCACTGCCCATTAAAGAAATGATCAGAGGAAGGAACAAATTTTTCCAATATTCTTTCGATTTCTATCTGCAAGCCAATATGTTCAGAAGTGTGAAAGCTACAACAAAATAACACCAAACTGTCCTACGTAAATTATCATCTAGGCAAATGTGTTTTAGACATGAAATACCAACACTGAGTAAATTTAAACATATATTTTTTAAATGTTATAATACCGTGATTGTTGATAATGCAGAACTTTGGACACACTTATAAGTTGATGGAAGATTTGCCAATTGGAGCAAGCATTTTGGAAGACATTAAACAATGCTTACCAATAAGCTTTCAACATGGTCTTACATTTTTTCTAAAATCCCTGATGTTGTTTAACGTTCTGATCAATTTTGTGGCCTCCTCCTTTGGCAGCTGCTCAGTCTCCACGTATGCCAACAATTATAAAATTGCACAGAAGGTGGAATTAAATAGACTTTACGCTCCTTCTCACTCATAATTAGTGCTTCCTGCTCATTATCTCCCAGGTAGGAGACATTTCCATTCTTAGCACCAATGGCCATTGTCACTCCCAGGCTTACTTACACAGTTCATTCCCTAGAGATGAACCACTGCCACCACCTTAGTTTAACTCACATTGACTATAAACGGACAGATTTATTTTCCCCTCTGGGATGGGACCAGAAACAGATTTTCCTCTTTGACACACTTTACTACAACCAAGGGTAGAGGGGCATGTTTTCCTCCACCAAATTTTAGCCTCATTCTTCTACCTACCTGGCTTCACCAAAGTTTTCCAGACCAAATTCTTATGTTTTTTTTCAGTAATTTCAAGTTCAATTGGTTCCTTCATCTTCCCAGCATAGACTTTAGAGAAGGGCTGGATTTCTCCTGGGCTTCTGTAGGACAATTTCAACTCCTAGAAGAAACACACCACGTGACTTGAAGCAGTAGAGGGTAGAAAGGCTGGGTTACCTATAGTGTACTGGCCAATGGACTCAACCACTGTTTTCTACACAATCTCATGGTTGGTTGAGAGGAAAACAGAGGGAGAGAGACAAACACCCTTTTAAGTTTACAATTTTAGGAAATACTGTTATTCCATGGAAGGAAGTGTAGCCTAGCTCTCAGCAGCACGTGGTTCAGAGAAAAATTGTCTGAGCGACTGACCCTCGACTTTTCTTCCATTTGTTTCAAAAGTACAAAATATTTGAAACCTGTTGAGTTATATTTGAATTTCACTGACCTCTGGTATTATTTCCAGGTGAGCAGAACTAGACACAATGTAACGGGAACCAAAGTTCAGGGGTTCCACTGGGGGCGAGGTCTGTAGACGCACACCATGGAACCTAGCTTCCTCATCATCTATTGCCTGAGGAAGAAGAGGCAGAAACAAATTAGACAGCAAAAAAAAGTAAAGAGGAAAAGTAGTGGCATAAAAAGTTATCGAGGAGGGCCGGCCCCGTGGCTTAGTGGTTAAGTGAGCGCGCTCCACTGCTGGCGACCCGGGTTTGGATCCCGGGCTCGCACCAACGCGCTGCTTCTCTGGCCATGCTGAGGCCGTGTCCCACATACAGCAACTAGAAGGATGTGCAGCTATGACACACAGCTATCTACTGGGGCTTTGGGGGGAAAAATAAATAAATAAAAATCTTTAAAAAAAAAGTTATCGAGGAGAGAGAAGTCAAGATGGCGGCGTAAGCAGACTCTGAACTCACCTCCTCCTGCGGACACAGCCAATTTACAACTACTCATGGAAAAATTACCCCTGAGAGAGAACTGAAAAATGGATAAGAGGAACTCCTGCAACAAATGACAATCCTAATTGAGGTGGAAGAGGCAGAAATTCCCTTCTGGAGAGAAAAAAGGCCACTTTCACAAGCTGCAATGCCTCATGGCCACCTGGGAGCAGCCCAAAGGTATGCAGTCCTCCCTGGAGGAGTGGGGCCCTGAGCCAGGGAGCGCCCCTGCTGTAGGCATTTTGTGGACCCAGCACAATTGAGATGAGTGGCATAATATCTGACTTTGCCTGCTACTAAAACATTGGGGAGTACCCCCAGAAAAGCTGGTTCACAAAGAAATTAAAACCGGCCCTTAAAGGGCCCATGCAAAAACTCTCCCATTTAAGAAAGCGACCTAGAATGACCAGAAAGAAAGGTGCACAGTGCTTTGGTGAAAAGAGACTCGCCTGATAGGCTCTGAGTGCATCTTGGTGAGAGGTGAGACCTCTCCAGGGACTGGGACAGTACTCTGAAGGGCCCACAACAACTACAAGCAGCTGAGCATTACAACAGCTTGCCAGGAGCATACCTCAGCCTCTCTGGGCACATAGAGGGAGAGCAAACACACCACAACAGAAGAACACACATAGCCCACATAGGGGTCACTCCTGGAACATGGAGAACTGAGGGAAGCACACTGCAGGCCTCCTAAGCCATCACTTATATAAGGTCACCTATCCAAGAGCAAGAGATGTAGCAGACCTACCTAATACATAGACACAAGCACAGGGAAAGAGGCAAAATGAGGAGGCAAAGGAATACATTCCAAGTAAGGGAACAGGACAAAACCCTAGAAAAGGAGCTAAGTGAAACAGAAATGAGCAACCTACCCAACAGAGAGTTCAAACAAAGAGTGTTAAGGATGCTCACTGATCTGGGGAGAAGAATAGACGAACTCAGTGAGAATGTCAACAAAGAAATGGAAGATATAAAAAAGAACTAACCAGAAATGAAGCATACGATACTGGAAATGAAAAATTCACTACAGGGACTCAAAAGCAGAGTAGAGGATACAGAAGAACGGATCTGCGAGCTGCACGAAAGGCTAGAAGAAATCACCCAAGCTGAACAGGTAAACGAAAAAAGAATTAAAAAGAGTGAGGACAGTCTAAGGGATCTTTGGGACAACATCAAGCACACTAACATCCGTGTTATAGGTGTCCCAGAAGGAGAAGAGTGAGACAAAGGGGCAGAGAATCTATTTGAAGAAATAATAGACGAAAACTTACATAACCTAAGTAAGGAAACAGACATCCAGGTACAGGAAGTACAGAGTGTCCCAAACAAGATAAACCCAAAGAGGCCCACACCAAGACACATCATAATCAAAATGTCCAGAATTAAAGATAAAGAGAGAATCCTAAAAGCCACAAGAGAAAGGCAAGTTACATACAAAGGAAACCCCATAAGACTATCAGCTGACTTCTCAGCAGAAACCTTACAGGCTATAAGAGAGTGGCACGATATATTTAAAGTGCTAAAAGGAAAAAACTTACAGCCAAGAATACTATACCCAGCAAGGTTATCATTCAAAATAGAAGCAGAGGTCAAAAGTTTCCCAGACAAGCAAAAATTAAAGGAGTTTGTCACCAAGAAACCAATACTACAAGAAATACTAAACGGACTGATTTAAAGGGGAAAGAGGTGACCACAAATAGGAAAAATTATCTATTTCCATGGTAAGAGGGTAATGGATACAAATGCACAAAAAAGAGGTTAGATATGATATCAAAAACATAAAATGAAGGAGGAGGGGAGTTAAAGAGTAGAGCTTTCAGACAGAGGTCAAACTAAAGAGACCATGAATTCTGTATAGAAGGAGCAAGGAGCAGAGAAGGACTACTAAAACACTGAGAAAAAAAAATGGCAGTAAGTACATACTTATCAATAGCTACTTTAAACGTCAATTGACTAAATGCTCCAATTAAAAGGCATAGCATGGCTAATTGGATAAAAAAAGAAGACCCATATATATGCTGCATAGAAGAGACACATTTCAGACCTAAAGACACTCACAAACTGAAAGTGAAGGGATGGAAAAAGATACTCCACGCGAATGGCAATGAAAAGAAACTGGGGTAGCAATACTCATATCAGACAAAATAGGCTTTAAAACAAAAATTGTAAAAAGAGACACAGAAGTGCATTACATAATGATCAAGGGAACAATCCAACAAGAGGATATAACACTTGTAAATATCTATGCACCCAACGTAGGAGCACCTAAATATATAAAGCAATTATTAACAGACATAAAAACAGAAATAGACAGTAACACAATAATAGTAGGGGACTTTAACACTCCACTTACACCAACGGATAGATCATCCAAACAGAAGATCAATAGGGAAACATTGGCCTTAAATGACACACTAGAACAGATGGACCTAGTAGATATATACAGAGCATTCCACCCAAAAACCGAAGAATACTCGTTCTTTTCAAATGCACATGGAAGATTCTCCAGGATTAATCACATATTAGGCCACAAAACAAGTCTCCATAAATTTAAGAAGATTGAAATAATACCAAGCATCCTTTCTGACCACAATGGTATGAAACTAGAAATCAACTATAGGAAGAAAATCAGAGAAGCCACAAATACATGGAGATTAAACAAAATGCTACTGAACAATGATTGTGTCAATGAAGAAATCAAAGGAGAAATCAAAAGGTACCTGGAGACACATGAAAATGAAAATATAACATGCCAGAATTTATGGGATACAGCAAAAGCGGATCTAAGAGGGAAGTTTATAGCAGTACAGTCCTATCTCAACAAACAAGAAAAATCTCAAGTAAACAATCTAACAATGCACCTAAAGGAACTGGAAAAAGAAGAACAAAGAAAGCCCAAAATTGGTAGAAGAAGGGAAATAATAAAAATCAGAGCAGAAATAAATGAAATAGAGACTAAAAAAACACTAGAAAAATTTAATAAAACCAAGAGCTGGTTCTTTGAAAATACAAACAAAATTGACAAACCTTTAGCTAGACTCACAAGAAAAAAAGGGAGAAGGCTCAAATAAGTAAAATCAGAAATGAAAGAGGAGAAATTACAATGGACCCCTCAGAAATACAAAATATTATGAGAGAATACTATGAAAAGCTATATGCCAACAAATT